CGGTCGAGTGGAGGGGAATCATAAAGGCTGTAATCATAAAAAATAAACCGTAGTAACGTTAGAAGTAGCTCACCCTGTCATATAACTTTCCACCAAAGGTACGGAATAAGGCGACAAAATAGGTTATAACTCTCATAGATTCTTGCACCAATGGCGCAATATCAACGGAAGAATATAAAAAAATCCGAAATTAGTTTGCACCACTAGTGCAACATTTGCGACCAACGGGGAACATAATTTTGAAAACTTTGAAAAAATTGTATGGTTCTTTCTCTCGACATTCTGCATCATTGGTGCGTAGTGCATCCCTTCCCCAATTATTTATTATAAAATTGATATATTTTTTCGTGAATGGTGCAGAATAATCGAACAAATAGAACAGAATTCTGACATGATTTTTGGGGGGAAACAGATGGCCCAATTGTTACGCATCGTTTTTAACAACCAATTGCTCGGCACTAACGGTGCTACTTATTCCAAAATTATAGTCCTATCTCGATCTATTTGCTGAATTAACTTGCACCATTTGCGCTCGGATTGTTCTATACCAATGGTGGGGCTAAACAAGTCTATAATGGACAAGGGGATTTTTAATCAGCATCAATTAATGCAAAAAACTCGTCAACAGACGGACGGACGGACGGACACGAGGAATTCAATAGCTCTCGTGCTACGCAGGGCGAGCTAATAAGCGAAACACTTTTCTAGATGGTTAGTAAATGGAAAAGTATGGTCCATGCCAAGCTTGATGTAAATATTAGCATAAAACACAATGTTAAAAATATACTTGTGGAATAGGGTACGGAACAAGCAGATACGTCCAAGTTTATCAATGTTTCGAGTATTGGTTGTTTAATGAAATATTTACAGAATCGATGAGAGATAGAAAAGTGGTTTCCGTCTCAAATTCAGTTACTGTTGAGAAGTTCAAATTCGTGCAAATTCGAACAATAGGTAAGTTCAAATTCATGATTCATTTTTTTGCCTCCAAACTCTTCAAATGCTCTTATAATTATTAGAATACTACGAAAAAGGTATGAGTTAAAACTTTTACATCAAATTTTCTACCAAATTTATGTATAACTCTGAAAAAATAATTCGCATTTACTTCGAAATTTGTTTCAAAAACCGTTAATTCGCAATCTCTTTACTAATTATTGATTTCCACAAAATACACTACTTACCCAAATACGCTGTGGTCAGCCCTACCGCCACTCCGATACAAAGTCCTGCCGCCACCATTAAGTAGGCGTAATAGCTCAGGTAAGTCCAGTAAAGCAACGGTGTCCAGTGCTTCTTAGAAATCAGGGTGATCCACAGGCCAGGATTTGGTTCTATCAGGTACGACAAGACGGAACAGATGAATCCAGAACCTCCCGCTATGACAGCCACGACATACAGAAACCATTCCAACATTTCCCCGCTGGGGTGTGCCTCGCATTTTTCTTTTGATACCCATCGACCCTCCAGATATCTGGCATACTGTAACGTCTGATTTAACGTGTGTACAAATTCGGGTGGATCGGCTAGCAAGAGGTAGAAGCAGATTACGGCAATTATGCAAATTATCATCATCAAGTAGGTAATGTTGACTAGATAGACGTCCGAGTGTTCAAGTGGGACGAAGAAGTAGTGGGAAATTCGGAACAGAGCGAAGACTTGATTTGCAAAGATGAGAATTGGTGACACTTTTGAAAGTACGCGGGCATATTTTGAAGTGTAGAAGAGATTTGTACGGTGCGAGTAGCGGATCGGGTTCGCGCCAAGGTGAGACGTTACCGCGAGACAAACGTCGACAAAGGTGATGACATTTTGGGAATACATTTTGGAATGCTCAGATTTTTTACAGAATTTTTAGTGGTTCAGTAAAATTACAGCACCACGTCCTGATGTGAAATGAGGGTGAAAGTCAGGTCAGACATGACATGAGACGAATTATAGTTAATTTTTCGTAAATTATTGGATTATCTTAAAAGGTGTTTAATTAGGGTGTATTATTTTTTGCAAAACTTGGTAATTATGCAACATTATTATATATAAATATATATATATTCTTTTATGTAAATAATTGCATATGAATTTACATACATTGATCAAAATAGGCGATTGGTCAAGTCGGAATTTGTAATTTGTGTAATATTTTGAATTATTTGCTTCGGCACACAGCTACATTTAGCAAAAAACTACTTAATTTATGCATATTTGAACAAATAGTTTAACTTTCGTTTTCACCGAGAATTTAAAAAAGAGATATACGAATGAAAATGTCTTCCATTCTTAATTTTCCTTTAAATGTCGTCCTTTCGAATACAAATTATTCTCCAGGGGATTAGATTTACATAATTATACGATTCGTTTTTCATGCGAGAGGATAAGGAAATTATATAAGCATTTTAAGCATGATTTACCAGCATTTAAAGATAAATTATTTTAATTGTAGCGTCCAAATTTAGGGTTGGCCGGGTCAGCTCGGACGTGCATGAATAATTCGTGGATGGCCTATTTTATCAGCACGTGGAGTTTAATCCTGTACACACATATATCAAATTTTGAACATACTAAAATTCATTTAGGGTCTCCAAACAAGCCAATAACGTTAAAATCATCCTTTCTCGCTTTCTCTAATCTCACTTTCTGATATTTATTTTCCCATGTTTTCAATTTAATCGAAACATATTGCAAAAAAAAACATCGTGATCATCCTGGTTGCCTCATGCCACACATTATTTTTAAGACAATGGAAATTCTGACAGGAAATCATGAGTCGGCCTTGTAGAGAAATTCACGTCATGCAATTATTTCCAAATAAAGTCTGCATTTATGTATGACGTCGCTTCAATGAAATGCATGTATTGAAATAATCTTTTTTACACTTATGGAGCTACATATTAAGAAATTTATGCAAGTGACAGACGGGTTGTTTAAGTATGCTAATTCTTATATATGGAATTTGCAACCCTTGCTAGATACCTGATGTGACATACTTAGAAATATAAATTGTTCAGACAAATTAATTAGAAAATATGAAGATTTCCTTCGGACTTATTTCCGCTAAGCTATAGCGGTCGCTTTGAAGAGATAGCCGTCCAATTCGCAGCATTTCTTGAATTCGGTAGGCTTAAGTTTTGCATCGATGGCTTGACAACTGCGGTAAGGTCCTTGGTCCAGATAAGTGTCGCAGGAGGACTCCAAATCGTCACTGTGACACTTCATGGTTTGTTCGTTCGTCCTGGTGGTTAAGGAATCAGACTGGGAATCGTTGTCCTTAACCATGTCGCTGGTTGGGTGGCAGCGGTAATACTTTTTTTGTGGGCGACCGCACGAACTAAATCCGGACAGGGTGGTGGAAATGAGAAGGAAAATGGTGACGGAGTACTTCATTGTTGGCCTGGAAATTTCAAATTTGTCAATAAAATTCGAAATATCGCATTTTAATAAAGAACGATCACCCTAAAGAGAATCCTACCCTTCTGAAAAGTAAATACGGATGCAAATCGAAATTAGGTAAACTTCACCAAATCCACAGTAAATTTTTCACATTTACTCTGGATTTAGTGTAATTTACGTAATTTAATATTTAGACTGAATTTACCTGCCAACAGGTAACATTATTTCCAAGCGTACGTTTGCGATGCTTTCCAAATTTTAATCTTGTTTGACTACGGATATGTATTGCTGAATTTGATTTGGAATTTGTAAAGACCAAGCGATTTTTATATTTAAAAAGATGATTTATAAAACTATTTTACATACCAACCAACCTTCCTAAAATGAATATGTAAATATAGTGTAGGTATGTAAATTCTTTCCAATAAGGAACTCTCCGCTTGTGTATGTATTTATATTGCTTACTTACATAGATCTTAAAGACTGAGGGACCAATTTGCCTCTAAAAGTTTTTTTAGGAACAATTGAAATATTAATAACAATAGAATCGTAGTCCTGTTAATGTTACTTCAAATTTGAGTGTCAAAAACCAGTGTATTATTCTGAAAAGAATTATTAATTGTAAGTAAGAACCTTGTTACTATATAACAATGGAACAGGATGACAGATTTTAATTAATTCGTTTCCTGCCTATGTATTCATTGTTTAACAAAGACAGCCAAATTTATATTTACAGACTTAAACTTTAACAGCGCTCAATAATTAATGTTGCCAGTGAGGATATGGAATGGAGGAAAGTAAAAATTTTGAAATTTGTCCCCAATCAGAGAAATTTTTGCAATATGAAAATATTATATAATTGCATGGATTTGTTATTAATGCCTGTTTAAATTAAACTTTTTTGTGCAGTCCCAAATTTTTGCAAAACAGCAAAAATGCATATTATGCTTTTCATTCTTGTCACGTATTACGATTACAATAGAAGAAAAACAAGGTTTAGTTTCCAAGAAGCTGATAAATACATATGAACTGATCGATAACCCAGCAATCATTAGATATATTAAACCCAGAATATGGAACCCAATTTATTTTCCTGGAAATTTGCGGTGTAAAGTTAAATGTCCTTCGCATGAGACCAATACATTTGTATACCTATTATCCTCATTTGCGTATTTTTGTCATTTTCCGTATTTTGCATAAATAAGTTCATACCTAGTTAGTAATGTCGTTAAGTTTTATTTTATTCATTCACTACAAAATTTAGTTAAATCTCGGCATTGTCAGGTGCAGCATGTTCACCAATATTAGACTGGTCGAATGGCTCCTTTACTTTCACTTGATGCTGTTATCAGTAAGATTAGCTAAATATTAGTGCACTCTTAAAAATTATGTTACCGTTTCTAAAATTAAATGCACCCTGAATTCTAAATAACATAAGTCAAGTAAATCCAGCTTAAAACTTGATAAAAAGTAAATTTTGCTGCGGGTTTAATATAGTTTACTTAATTTAGAATTCATAGTGGATTGACTTTTCCAACTTATTTTTAAGAGTGCACTACCATTATTTTGTTAAATGATTGTTACCTAATTCCTTAATTTTTAGATTGTCTGCATCTTTTGCGCCGTGCAAAACGAGACTTTCCACGGGACAGGAAAGTATGCCACGAATTACGCCTTAATTGGAATATTGACCTTAATTGTGTTCGGGAATATTGTAACGTTACTGGTTTGGCGGGTAGGGTAACAGCAAATTTGAAAAATTTTTGCAAGATTTTTGGAACAATCTTTAATCATTCGACTTGCAGAGATCAGAACGGTTTCTGCGCTTCTATCAAGTATTTTTCTTCACGGTGCCATCAATTTTTTGGGCTCTACTCCATTACAAAGTTTGGTCGGAGCAACGGATCCCGAAAACTTTGGGATTAACACCGCTGTTAAATTTCTGGTTTTGTCTGTCATTTCTGAATGGCGGGATTCTGCTAGGCATTTATCAGGACTTGGTGCGAACACATGTCGGATACCCGCCAGCTTCGAGGACTATAGGAATTCATGTCAGGAAGGTGGTCACGTTACATTTCTGGGGAAATTTGGTAAGCAAAAATATGTAACCTGAGATTCACACACTCCTAGAAATCCTGTATTAAAATAAGTAATTCCAAGCGGTCTTCATATTTGAAGTAGAATTAATGAGAAAAACCTTAGAGTAATAAATATTTAGCTTGTTAAAAATTATACCATTTCGGTAACAAATTCCTATATGGCCCGGTATAATTTTAATATCAAGCAGAATCATCCCTAATTTCGAGCAGCGCACTGTTATAGGAATCTAATATGTATAGTCAAGCAGGCCCTGATTTTTCGGTATTAAAGTTGCTACCTACGGAGATTAAAATTATATCGATCAGTGAAAGTCTGCAACCAGTATGGTAGTAAAACTTTAATATCCAACTATAGCTACATACATACATACACGGTATTTGTTATCAATACCTCTCTGCCAGAGTCGTATAACTCGGTATTATTTTAATACCGGATTTCTAAGAGTGTAAATGTGCACAACTTATGTATGACAATTTAATGAATAACTCTTCATAATTGTTGATGTTAGATTTACGCAGTGCTGGTTTTGATACATGTCTTCGTGGCACAATTTACCCAAGTTGGAGCTTTTTATGGTAAACACGGGTGACAAAAATAAATTATGTAGAAAAGGTAATGACCCTTCCTTCGAAATGGTGTACTTTTTTTTATAGATTTCCTTCCGTTTACGGTTCCAATTTTCTTAAGCGAAGTTACACGATTGATATTTTCGCCCATTTTATACAAAGCTTACAAATCGGTAAGGATAAATAGAATAATAAGACTACTTTGACCGTAACCATCGCTGTAGATATCATTTTGCAGTAATCTAGATAAGCCCGATATTGCTCTCTGCATCTTTTTGCCCACATGTGTGCATACTTAATACTTACTGCAACTTTCTGAAAATGTGTGTGGGTTTTATTCTGCAGAACCAAACACACTCTTAAAACTCCAGTATTAAAATAATACCGGGCGGCATTCTTATATGATTCTATCAAAGTGGTATTGATAAATAATACCGTGTAGTAATAAGCCGGTGCTGGTTTTAAAGTTTTACAATATTGATGTCAAAGTTTTACGGACCGCGGTCCGTAAAACTTTGATATTAAAATTATATTAAAATATTAAAATCAAAATATTAAAATATATAAAAATATTAAAATTATACCGGTCGACCGGTATAATTTTAATACCAAGTAGAAACTTTAATACCCAGAAATCAATACCTGCGTGCTGATAAAATCAATACCGGATTTCTAACAGTACATATGCAAATATGTACATATGTGCATAATTGCACATACATATATTTATGCAGAAATTGTTCTTCATAAAGTTTTAATGCAGAAAATCGCACCCCAAAAATTTGTTTTCACGTTATACATCATTTAATTTCTCAATTTCATTGCATAATTCCACGGTTCCCCATACTTCTCAGAATCAGTCACATCGATTTGCATAAAATTTTTATTCAGAAAAATGGGTCAAATTTATGCAGAGAAGCCGTTTCAATTTTTATAGATAATTTGATTTCTTAAGCAAATCACATACATAATTCTGCATAGTCCTGCATAGTTCTTTGTATAGGTCGTTTTATATCAAGTTTTCTGCATAAAGTATGCCGTTCAAGATTTTATACAATTTAATTTTTTAAATTAGATAATTTCTCCGCAGAAAAATGCCCAACTGATGACCCGCTTCGTGGTCCTCACATATGCAAATGACTTAACTGGGAAAGCAATCCAATATGTGTCCGACTACAAGAGACAAATTGTGCTGGCCAAACCGGCCGGACTTTTTGATAAACCTGGCTCCATTACTTTTCCATTCGAACTTTTCCTGTTCGTTTATTGTTATAGACTTTGGTTCGTTTACATAAACTATTTTAAACGACGGAACGAATCGATTGAAATAGACCAATTTCACCGCCATTTCGAAAAGTTTATCGGTACTTCGAAAATTGGAGTGGTCAAGGTGAAATGCGGTATGAAAATTTAGCTACCAGCCTTCAGTTTTCTCCCGTGTGAAAATCAACGTGTTGAATATTTGTGGAAAATTTGTACATAGATATTTATGCATAAAAGACACACAGTACGTTCAACTTATGCCGAATTTATGATTCAATTCATAAAAATTATTCAAGTTTCTTCCTACTGTTTCTGCAAAAATATTGGCAAGTATGTATTTTACAAAAAAATGACAAAAGAAGATTAGAAATTTATTTTCTGCTGAGTATTTACTTTACAAATTTATCTTGAAAAGAATTACAAGATTTGTGTTTTGATGATAACTTCACAAATTACAGTTCCGCCGACAAATTAACAAATTTTTATGTTCTGTAAAAATTTATAGATTTGTATTCTGCACAAAAATTGACAAATATTCTGCACGTTAGCTTCCACCGCCTGATCGTAAGATGACGCCCACATCTCCAAGATTTGATTTTACTCTCATTTATTTAGACCAAACTGAGCAAAGCTATTTGGGCGAAGGATTTTTCGGCAAAGTGTACAAAGCCGAGATGATCTATCCAAAGGAAGAAATCGTGGCGGCAAAATTCGTTACAGATTTTAAATCGGTGCTAAAAGATGCCACCGCCTTGGAAAAAGAGCTTCGAATTTTAAACTTATTATCGACCCCGTCAGGGAACAAAAACCTGGTGGGGTTTTACGGGATTGCGTATCATTACTCTAATCAAACGTTCGAGATTGGAATCGTGTTGCAATTTTGTGCAGGAGGAACGATCAAGAATCGTTTGGATGGGATAAGAACGGATTATAGTTTTCCGGCGAATGTATCCTCGGAAATTTTGGAATCTCTGGACAAGTGGGGTCTCCAAGTCGTGAATGGGATGAAGTATTTGGAATCTAGAAATGTGAGTTTTTTGCATGATGTCTAGAACGATTGCAACAAATGCAAGAAATGAGCGCAATCTAGCGGATAATGACTGTATTAAAGTTTAGCACAAATGGTCCCCCGCTAGGTGGCGCTTATTACTTGCATTTTGGCAGTTTTTTGGAATAAATTGGAATGAATGTGAAGCGAGTGCAAGAAAGAAACGTTATCTGGCGGATTATCACGTGCCGCTAGGTGTCGCGAATTTCTTGTAGCTATTTGCATTAGAGTGTAAAAAAATCGGAAAATGCCCAATAAATCAAACAAATCCTTATTAATTTCTTAAGGTGATTCATGGGGATCTTTCCGCGAGAAATGTGCTTTTAGACGAAGCTGGAAATGCAAAAGTGTCTGATTTCGGAATGTCATTGAGATTATATCAATACGAAGAATACGCTCATCCCGGACAATCCGTAGGAAAACAAATTTATAACTTTTAAAATGGAAAGCACCTACACTCTTAGAAATGGGGTTACGATTATAATCAAAAATAAACGTATGTGACTTTACCGCAGTGCTTATGAATTTGTCACCAATTGGTTATAAATTTAGTAGCTCTGGTGACAATTTAGTACCACGTCGGTAAGACTTTATAATTTGTCGGTGACATTTGTAACCACTCGATGACAAATTCCTAACCACGGCGGTAGAGTCACATACGTACAGTGGGTTGCCAAAAGTATTGGTGGTCAATTTTGTGCTCGGTACCGTGTACGATATTTTTTCCAAGGGATACATACGGACTAATTCTAGAGGCATTTTTTACAGCCAAACAAATGGTCAAGAAAATACTTCAAACAGAATTTGAAAATCTCACTCCGTTCGGGGGAAATTGAGAAAAAACTTCAAAAACGGCATAAAAAATTGTGACAAAAGTATTGGTGGTGGTATATTTTTTATATCTACAGGCCTTACACATTTGAATTATTAGTCGCAACTTTAGTACCATACTCTTGTATGTTCATTACACTGAAAATTTATTAAATATGCCTAAAATAGGCGAGTTGTGCATCGCTGGAAAAAATTTATCCACATAATGCACGGCATAAAGGTTGGATCTCAAAATCTTTTTCTTTTGACCTTATTGAAGGTCCGGATAATTCCGAATATCATCACAAAGATTAACTCAACTTGTTTCGTGATGAGCAACACAAAATAACACTGAACAAAGGCCACGACACAACACCAAGGCAGAAAAATGGTCGCTTACCGTTATGACAGCCGTTTTACAAAGATCAAAGGCGTTACAAAAAAGTTAATGCAATACATACTGTACAGATTCATTGTGCTAGTAATCCAACTAAGGTTTTACAATTTATTTTAGGGCACCCACCTCACCCGATCACTGAATCTGGTCGAGATAAACATGGTATAAAATTACTCACCCACTAATAAATTCAATAATAAAAATAACACTAACTGTATCTAACGTGTTTTTGTAAGTAATCAATTCTCAGTTGTTAAACTGATTTTTGACAAACATGCTAAAGTCCACTGATTCCAAAACAACATAATATGTCCTCGTCGGATCACAGAATCTGGCCCCGTTCCTTTTTCCTCAGATGGCACGTTCTTTTGTTCCTTGATATATTTTTGACACCTTCTTCTTGCTATGCGTATGTCTATAAATCGGTTTCGTTCAATTATAATTTGTTTCGTGTAGCCAAGCACACATAGTCGCCTTAGAAATTTCACGATCCAGTGTTAGCAGGATTTTTTTTGTGACGCCCGAGACATTTGTAACACGGCTGTCATTACCGTAAGGGATAATTTTTCGTCCTTAGTGTTGTGTCGTGGCCTTTGTTCAGTGTTATTTTGTGTTGCTCATCACGAAACAAGTTGAGTTAATCTTCGTGATGATATTCGGAATTATCCGGACCTTCAATAAGGTCAAAAGAAAAAGATTTTGAGATCCAACCTTTATGCCGTGCATTATGTGGATAAATTTTTTCCAGCGATGCACAACTCGCCTATTTTAGGCATATTTAATGAATATTCAGTGTAATGAACATACAAGAGTATTATCCTAAAGTTACGACTAGTAATTCAGATGTGTTAGGCCTGTAGATATAAAAAAATATACCACCACCAATACTTTTGTCACAATTTTTTATGCCGTTTTTGAAGTTTTTTCTCAATTTCCCCCGAACGGAGTGAGATTTTCAAATTCTGTTTGAAGTATTTTCTTGACCATTTGTTTGGCTGTAAAAAATGCCTCTAGAATTAGTCCGTATGTATCCCTTGGAAAAAATATCGTACACGGTACCGAGCACAAAATTGACCACCAATACTTTTGGCAACCCACTGTACGTTTACATTCTGGTTATAATCGTAACCCAATTTCTAAGAGTGTATGTATTTGCTCAGTTTTTAAGTTCTAATCTAATAAATTCTCAGGTTTTCCCATGGCGACACATGTCCATTGAAGCCATACGCGATTTAAAATTTTCTGTAAAATCCGACGTCTGGTCATTCGGCGTTCTTCTCTGGGAATTTTACACTTTCGGGGAAACTCCATGGGACGGGATTGAATGGAACGCGGACTTTGTACAGTTATTGATTGATGGCCACGTGTTACGAGAGCCTCCTTATGGAGGTCCACTTTATAAAAGTAATCTAATTACTTGTCTCGTGCTGTAATTGTAAAAGTCAAATTTGGAACTTTGTCAGAAAAAGTTGCAAATTTCAATGTTATTCATGGCTTTCGTTTTGCGAATTTTCAGAAGTGATGCTTCCTTGCTGGAATGCGGAGGCTTTGGGTCGTCCGTCCTTTGGAAAACTGGAATTACTACTGTCTCGTGCCGACTAAGGAGAAGCAGTAGTTTAGTTATGGAATTTTGAAAGTTACAGAAAATTTATTTTCTCAATTTCACAAAATCTCAATGTATTTCAATTTTAAAAAATAGTTCAAAATTTTGCAAAAGTGATTCTCAGATTTTTTTTCGCTCGGAATTATAGCTACATATGTATGTACGCACATAAATACGTTGGTGTAGTTGAACTGCAGATCCGTGAGTCTAAAGCTCACGTTTCATAGTACTTACATACATATTTGCAAACGAGTTGTGCATTAAACAAATTTCTTACATTTATTAATTAGATGATATTACGAATAATAATATTAATATGTAGGTTCGTATTCTACAGATGTATCATTTATTATATGATAAGGAAGCATGTTCTATTTTCTAACTATTCTCATATTAATAATAATAATTAATTACCCGGATTTCATTTTGGAATGAATCCGGATTTCCTTAATTTAAAAACTAATTTTCATGTGCACTGTAAAGATACAAATTGTTGGGAAAAGTGTAAATTTAAAAAAATGTTGCTTACGTTATTCATCCCAGGTAGTTACCTATTTTACCATATTCGATATCAAACTCACCTTTTTTGAAATTTTTAGTCCATCAACTTAAAAATATACCAGGAAACTATGTCCATGGTCAAAAAGTTATAAACCATGATGCAAATTTGAGAAAAGCTTAAATTACGATTGAATATGGTAAAGAAGTATGTATTCGACATCTGTCAAACTCGTTCAATTATCACGGAACTTGATAATATCAATAAATGATTTAAATCCGGATCCGGAAATCCGGCTCAAACGAAGCCGGATAATCCGAAATCCGGATTTGAAAATTCAGAACGGATTTTGCAGCCCTATTACCGACCATATTAATGGAAATGGAAGTGAAAAGAAATACAATTCTTGCGGCGTTATAGAATGGTTTCCAATCATGAGCGTTTTCAGAGCAGTTAGGTTTCCTTGGATGTCTTCGGATAGGAAAATTTGTGGCAACTCGTTCCGAAAATTGCGTAATTTCGGAAGTATCTTTCGCAGCAGTTGGAATTCAGAGTCTGAGACAACGCAATCCTGCTCCTGCTTTAGGAATGGGTTAAGGTTCACAAAAAATAGGGAGACGAGCCGGAAGCTGACTTGGTCCAGGATCCGGGATAGTTCGGAAAGGGCAATGTGTGTGAGGTGCTTCTGTTCCATGTGGTCCACAGCGATGGTCAAGGAGTCGAGATATTTTGAATTTACGAAATTTGGAAAAAATCCCCATGAAAGGGTGACCTTTGTTAAGTTCGGCGCGGCAGTGATAACCAGTTGGATAAAGGGGGCAACAAGTGTGCTCGGTACCTGGGCAAAAAAATATTATCTTCACTCGAAATTCATTCAATGCAAAAGTTGGAAAAGAGCGACTCATTCATTATTGGCTTATAAATAGGTATGGGAGGCTATAACATCAAAAGATTTTTACTCATTATTCACTATATTTAATAAATAATTGCTGTATGAATTTTTTATTCATTTTATCTTCTCAAATCTGTTTTATTAGAAGTACTTACTTTTCAATATACCCCAATTAATAGGCATCGAGCAAAAAATGAATAATGAGTAAAATTATTCAATCATTCTTCATGACTATTGCAAAATTTCGAAACAAATACACACTCACGAAAAAATTTTCCAATGGGAAAAAACCCTAAATTTCCATTAGGTACCGAGATTTTCTGTGGAATTCAGCATTTTAAGAATGTTGTCATCAGTGTTCCATCAGTTTTGATAAAAATAAATAAAAATCCCAGTCCCAAATCTTGTAACTAATGGAGATTTAGGGGCTTTTCTCATTGAAAAATTGTCCATTATAAGTACATAACCACCCTATATATGAAAATATCTCGTATAGCGTTCTTACCATGTTGCACGTGAGGGCGAACAAGGTCAAATAAGGTTTCGGCAGTAGTGGCCCGAGTACAATTGAATTCTGCAGATTTGTCCCAAATTTACAACTTATTCGCAACTGTTTCAAATTGGGGCATCCGTTAGCTAAAACTTGGTGGATTATACGTATCGTGTTTTCGCCACGGATGGAAATCTCCAAGATTTGGACGCGATCCGTGAAATTTTCGCAAACGTGGACCAACTTGAACTGGGTTACTGTTACAATATTATGAAACATAGATTTATGGTAGGCACAACCATGCCCAGGCAGGCAGGCTTTAGTCTCCTTACAAAGCATCGCTAGCTTTAAGGCTATCACCAGTTCACTTCCATTTATTTGAGTGATTATGATAGTGAACGAAAATAAATGAATTTTATGTCATTTGAATGAAAACCTACCCCTGCTGCCCACCCACCCCTCTTTGCGTTACGAAGTTTAGGAACGTCTACTAAGAAGGAGACTAAAGCATGCCTGGCGGGCCATATTTTTCGTCACATAACATTTACACTATCCGCTTACCTGGTACGAATGGAACCGTGTCGTCCAGATAGGCGGACGTGGAGTAACACGTGGCGCTAATCCGTTTCGCAAGTTGATCATCCAATCTGGAACATATCGCGAAAAATGGACATACAGTATAGGCAGAAAGTCTTTCCACCCTCACGCGTTTTTAACTTAAAGTGTAATATTGCTCGATAGGCTCTATCCAACAAATTGAAATTTTACACAAATACTTATCACGATGTAAGGTTTTCGGAGCCATACTTTGGAAAATGGGGTGGCACAAGGAACGGTACGGTGTAATTATATCCAAAATTCCAACAGGAAAAAAGTCTTTCCACCCACATTAAAGATTAGTGTAAAACTTGTTTAAACTTGTTCTTTGTTATACAACAATCAAATTGGCATTTGGCATGTTCACCTTAATCCTTTGGGAAGGCAAGGACACTTTTTGGTATGAACTCAACAAATGAACTGGTGACAGAGGGGTCCAAATCCCAAAATTGGAGTTTCATGGCGTCCTCCAGTCTTTTCAGGCTAGATAGTATGTGCTGAGCAATTTTGGGCCTCACAATTGACTACAGATGATCATTATGATTATGTCCGGTGATTGTGGAAGGCAATCCAGCAATTCAATTTTCTTTGTTGTCTAACAAGTCTTGAATAATTTTGATTTGTGCATATGATTCCCATCCTATTTTAAACTAAAATTATTTCCCGATCGTAATATCCTCCGGACATCATCAAATTCGAATCAGAATGGCTCTATAGTAGTTGGAGTTCATGATTCCTTTGATTTTATAAAAATGTTTGACGCCCTTCCACGACTTACACGCCCAAACCTTTCGATTTTCACCTCCATGCTTAATGGTATGGACACATTACTCAGGTTTGCCTGTATTTTCTTGTCTTCTCCAGACCCCAGTGACCACATTTGAACCAAACAGGTTCGTATTTGTATAGTCGCTCCGAAGTATGCGTTTCCAGTCCTTATCGGTCCAATTAAGGTACTTTTTAGCTAATTTTGAATGCATAGCCATATTGGACTTGGACAGAAATGGCGTTTTCCGCGGTGCTGGGCCTTTAAATCCATGTTCCTCGACCCTATTCTTTCTAATTTGCACAGTAACTTGAAGGCTATATTCTTCCCTGATTTCTAGTTGATTTTTGATGCAGTAGCCGAGGGTTTCACTGATTCTTGAAGAGTATGGCGTCATACATTCTTTGGGCCGAAATCCGTAGTCGTTTAAAAGCTGGCTGGTTCGCCACTATCCCTACTTTTTTTGCACTTTTGGACTATGCTGGTAAATGTTTACTTCCTCATGAGCAGTTTATCAAAACTTCTTTGATGTCGAAGTCTATGATCACCAAAATTGCCAACCTTTTACCCCAAATTTGTGCTAAGATGTTTTTCAGGTAATATTAGCCAATATTGATAACAAACAATTAGTTTTGCGTTACGCAAATGTAATTTTTCGAAGAATTATGAACTATGACGTGGGTGCAGAACGATTTTGGACGATGTTTTTAAGAAATTACACCATAAGTGCAAAGAAGTCATAGGGTGGAAAGACTTTTTTCCTGTTAAAATTTTGGATATAATTACACCGTGTCGTTCCTGGTGCCTCCCCATTATCCATAACATGGTTTCGAAAACCTTACATCGCGATAAGTAATTGTGCAAAATTTCATTTCATTCGATAAAGCTTCTCGAGCAATATCGCACTTTAAGTGCAAAAAGTATGAGGGTGGAAAGACTTTCTGCCTATACTGTACGGCGGTTAAAAGGAGATCCTCTTGCTGCTTGGTGGTCAGGTTAAACGCGAGTCTCGGGATTGGCAGGGAGAGAACCACGTCGTTCCAGAAGTGGCAAACTAATCGAGAAATTTTGACCGGGCAGGAGGCCTGCTTGAATATTTCGGTCAAAATCTGGAAAAATTTTGTACACTTTTAAAAATAATCATTTGAAAAGTAAATAAACTCTGAATTCGGTATTAGGTAAACTGTACTAAATCCAGGGTGAACTTTATTCTTAATCGAGTCCACGTTACTATGTGTTTAGTATACTTTGCTTAATTGAGGATTGAGACTGCATTCACAGTTTAAAAGGGTAGCATCATTTTTAAGAGTGTGCATACATATATGCACACTCAATATGGTTTAAATAGTCTTGACCTTAAAGTACTTACAATTGGATTATTTAGCGCCATCTCTTGCACGCTTCTTTTGTCTTGAGATCCCATTGTTGGTTAGGTAGGTGTATATGTAATTGGACAGACCAATATTTACCTTTGAAATGCCAATCAATTAAAAATTATGTAAATTTAGCGTACACGAAATTCCAATAACAATTGCTACAGTCGAAATAAAAATGAGTTAAATTCACTCTAGATTGAGTAAAATAGAGAATAACACAAGCAAAAGGTAAAACTGATCCAACGTTGTGCAAATGCATGTTTTGCACAACTTTAGAGAAATTTTGCACAACTGTTGGATAAGTTTTATCCTTTGTGGTTTTGTCATCCTCTTTTTTTGTTAAATCTTACCTATTTTTATTTGCCGTGTACCTAATTATCCTGTTACCTTTCCTTACCGAGGTTTATAAAAATTCAGTTTTACTTATGTACTTAAATAACGTCCAAGTAAACGTGAACATTCGTTTTTGTGTCTTGTTATTAATCGAGAAAACAGTACCCTTGGTGAGTTGGATCGAATCAAATGAAATCATTCGTACTCCCGGGGAAAGTTGCAGTTCAGGTAGTTTCCTATCTGCGGTACCCTTCAGAAGGGGAGGGCCATAAATTATGTCACTCTAGTTGGTGGAGCGGGGCCCAAGGCTCTAATGATATGTATTGTGCCTATGTGTACAGACGTGGCAAATGTTAATGGGGGGATGGGGGTCAAAAATTTGCTATTTTTGCGTGACATAATTTACGGATATCCCCTAAAGGACGTGGTCTCATTCCTGGGGAACGTTGTAGTTCAGGTAGTATGGTACCCTGCATAAACGACGTGGTGGATTTGAGAAAGGTATCCAAACGTGTTAAAGCCGTCATATGTATACTTGTAATTTTAATAATAGCCTGTCCTGTAGTCAACTTTATGAAAAATCGACCACGTGAAGTACGCATATTCCCCAGTGTGTTCGCTTTCATCTCTTTGTTCATGAAGCTTCTCGCTAGCGCATGCATATTTATGAGCATATATAATAGAAATGCAAGGACTGAGCGAATCAGCGTAATGCATAATCATGTTCGCAAAAAGTATACAAACATGTCATCTAAAGTGTCATGCATGATTTCAATATTGTTTTGCAATCCGTTTCATACATATTTCCATAAAGTAAAAACATTGTTAATTTTAGACTATAGTAAAACCTGTTTGATTTGAGGTGTGTGTTACCTCTTATGTTAAACAACAGGGAAGCAGTTCCAATTTTTTATATACAATTACACTTTTAAAAATAATGTGGCCCTTGAGAAAAGACTATTTAAGGTAATAAGAGTTGTCACCAAAACGTCAAAATTATTAAAATTTAACGAAAATCCGATTTTTGATGACTATTTTAAAACGGTGGAACAAAGTTATTTATTACGCGTTTAGTAGATTTATGTGTTTATTTTTGTTCGTTTGTGATGTACATATGTACCTATACCCTACAAATACATAATTATTACAATTGTAAATATAATTGTGTAGTGTAATGCAGATTTTTTAGGCATACCATCGTTCAGTTTAAATGCTGGTCCCTGCCTGGCATGAACCCAACATACGTTTCATACCAAAACTAATTACGTTCGTCTGGTTATTATGAAAGACAAGTATGCATAGTTATATAATTGTGTAACTTAACTACTCCGACGGGGGTCTTCAACTAATTATTTTAATACGCGTAACAATATTATGTAATAGTAAATAGATATATATTATATTTTACGTAATAGTAAGTTGCACAACGCAGAGGTTATTGACACTGTAAAGCATCCGGTAGTCTGTCTTATATACATCGTACGGGTATCCACTCTGTAATGATTCTAAATATACTGGAATTGTTATTGTTTAATTCTGAGTATTAAATATTTCAATATCACACATTACTAGGTCGTAACGCTGGGTATGTATTCACACTTCGTTTCCAATTGATAAAAGTTGTCACGAAATATTTGCGTGCAAAGAATTTCAGAAATTTTAAAACTCCAAAGATGTTGCCTTTTAACATCTTCATAACTCTGATTTGCACCTTCCATTTGAAAGTAGTAACAGGAAGCTTTTGGTCAATTCCAAGCTATTTTAGCAACTGCAATATTCAGTTTGTGAAATGGACTAAAAGTATTGGGCAGATGGAGGATTACTATTCATATTTCTACGATATTATGATCAGCAATCCAAACTCACCCTTGATGTTAAATCAAATTGAAATTAACGTAACGCACGTGACAGTGTTGAGGCCGGGTAATTCATTTATGAGGCGACATACACGATCGGGTCGAACACCAGTTGCATTTTTCTCAATTGGCCATGCCATGCTAGGAAGGCAAACATATGGTAATGGGCGGTCGATCTACTACTATATTCGCGACGCCTTGATAAAGAATTTTAACCCAACTTATATATTTCAACATACCAACGAACCATTGAATCCGATAAATTTTAAGGACTACTTACGCCACATAGGTGGAACAAAACTTGTCCTTTTTAGTCTCTCCTCACCGGGAAAAATGTTCCTTCCATGCATAACCTGCATCGCCTCTCCGACTGTAACAGTGAGCACGATACCATTCCGAGAAATTGATGGTGTTTGGTGGTCAGAAAATAAAAACTTGCAACAATCGAAAATGCTACTACAGGAAGATTATAACTTTGATGGAATGAACTGTAGAGTTAATTACGTGCCAGGAAAATCGACAATACTACGCTACTGTAAAATTAAGCATCTCTCACAAAATTTGAATTTTTAAATGGTGTCAAATTACCATTCCGATAATCCAGTGCATGCCATAGTACTGCAGGCTTCTATTTCAGTAACCCTTTCATTCTTGATCGACGAGCCTCGTCTAATCGCATCTTTTTCAGTTGAGTTTCAGTACGTGAAATTTTCTGTCGTTACACAATATCCAAACGCCTTGGAGGGAATGAATGCCTTTTTACTACCACTTGAAGATACTGTTTGGGTCGGAGTTTTAGTCTCGTGTGTGGTAATAAGTATTGTCGCACAGCTAGGTAAGCATTGCACAGGCCTACTCGCGACAATTAAAGCTTTTGGCTTAGACGCCTTAAATGTGACGGTAATTCTTTTGGGGCAAGTAAATTCAGACAGTATGAAAATATTTAACAAGAGGGCATATGGTATTCCTATAACCTTAGTCTGGATATTTTTTGGGGGTAACGTTATCATGGACAATCTGTATAATGGATCAATATTCTCTTATTTGAGTGCCACAAAACCTCCAATCGTTCCGAGACGTTTGGCCGACCTGATCGATAGTAATATTCCAATTATAACTCTGAGCAGTTTCAAACACTATAATTCGGCATTAAAAGCTCTCACTGCTATTTATGTGGATAGATGGAAAACAGCAAATCTATCCACCCAACTATTCATCCAATTGGACTCGAAACTGGTTTTTATTAATGTGTATGTGTCATATGTAAAATTTATGAAGACAGTTTTAACCTTAGGAGTACCAACGAGTACGGTGGACAGAAGTCAAACCTATGCAATTTTGGATATTAGCTCCGAGTTTAACGTTTACACCGATCTGGTTAAAACACATGGGAGTCGTTTAGTTATTGATGCCTTGGAAGACACACCGTTCGTTCTTGTAACGGTTGATGTTGGTTACAGAAACTGTTTACATGGACTATTTGCAAGAAAGCTTGACCAATTGAAAGCTTCTGGAATTGAGTTTAAATGGGCGAAACTCGAGCGAATGATTAGTGTGGCATACGTGTCAAGATGGATCGGATATCCAGACAATTTAACTGGGTATCATTTGGAAAATACTGGATCAATTTCGTCACTAAGCAAGGAAGACCCGGTTTCAATTAAAATGGTGGAATCAATTTTTATTTTATGCTCGATTCTTCAGGTTGTTTCGTTCATTAGTTTCGCTATAGAGTTTAGACACAAACTAATACCTGTTTTAAAGTGTATTGTCCTTAAAATTGTGGATTGGTATAAGTGTGAACTATTTTCAATTTAACGAAGCATTTAGATATATATGCAAAAACTGTTTCCCGTACGTTCGGGTAACATGAATCTTTTCTGTAATCTCATGAAGTTAAAAGCGCCAATTATTACGGAATGCCATGATTTGAGTTAAAATTTATGAAATCAATAGCACATGTGTTTATGTTGTAGTGCATGCGTATGGATACATCTGTCCCAATTAATTCATCATTATTTCGAAAAATTACACAAAAATGTAATTTATTCAGAATATGCATACATACAAAATAAAACCACAGAACAGGCTGTTTACAAGTTTTGTTAGCTAATTATGTACCGCTCCTCTTCGCTTCTATGACATAACAATTTTTCCAATTTTGTAAATGAAGGACGACGGCCTGCATCAATATTCCAGCAGGGAAGCATGACTTCTATAAATTAGAAACAATAAAGTGTTACAAACCAGACGAGCAAAGTGATGAAATCTATCTGCTTACAATATTATACAATCTTATCTTGTTAGTTTATTGCGAAATTTATCTACCTGTATAAATTTTGCCTCCATACTTTAGCTGTTTCAGCGCATACCCATCCATTAGCAGATTTACAAAGTTTCCATTCCACTCCACTTCTGCCCATGGGGTTTCCCCGAAGGTGTAAAATTCCCAGAGGAGCACGCCGAACGACCAGACGTCTGATTTAATAGAGAATTTTAAATCTCGGAGGACTTCTATTGCCATATTTCTCCATGGGAAAACCTGCCAATAAGAGAGATGAGCACGTTGATAAATTGATATTTTTTTACAGTATTTACACTCTTAAAAATAATGGTGAAAAGTAAATGCACTTTGCATTCTTGAGTAAACTGTCCTAAATCTAGATTAATGTTAACTTGATAAAGAGTAAAGTTTACTCTGGATGTTGTATATTTTACTTAATACCGAATTCAGAGAGCATTTACTTCTAAGACGCATAACATTATTTTTAAAAGTGTAAGCCTTTTTTGTAATCAGTGGTTTACGTACAGATTGCTCTGGATGAGTGTATTCTTCGTACTGATATAATTTCAGTGACATTCCAAAATCGGACAGCTTTGCGTTTTCTTGCCCATCTAGCAGCACATTTCTTGCTGAAAGGTCGCCATGGATTATCTGATGGGTAATCAAGTCATGAAAAATCTAATTAGCACAATCTTATAAGGAAATGATGTGATAAACTACATTTCTCGATTCCAGAAACTTCATGGCATCCACGACTTGACGACCCCATTTTTCCAGAGCTTCCAAAGTTTCCGAGGTCACATTTCCCGGGAAACTATAATCGTTTCTTATATCATCCAGGTAACCTTTGACCGTTCCTCTTGCACAGTATTGCAACACGATTCCGATTTGATACGAATAATTGGAGTAATGCCACGCAATCCCGTGGAAACCAACCAGGTTTTTGTTTTCATGGGATGACGAGGATGATAACAAGGTTAAAACTTGGAGCTCTTTTTGCAGAGCGGTGGCATCTTTTAGCATTGATTTGAAATCTGTGATGAATTTTATAGCGACGATTTCTGATTTTGGGAGGATCATATCTGCTTTGTACACTTTTCCGAAGAATCCTTCGCCCAGGTAGTTGTCGTCGTATTGATCTAAAAAAGGTTAATGAATGAGTCAAAAAAATTTTAGAAATTTCAACCCTATTATTTTATGAATATCGTTTATAATTTTGTCAAAAAACTTTGGATTTTGTAATTGCCGATTTTTACATCTTAAAACATTTTCCATACCACATTTAACTTTAACCACTCGGATTTCCTCTTCGTCCACAAACTTTTCAAAATTCCGGTGAAAATGATCAATTTCCAAGGATTCGTTTCGCCTTTTGAAATAGTTGATGTAAATAAACCAAAGTCGGTAGCAAAAAATGAACATGAAGATCTGGATTGGAAACGTCATCCCAGGTTTGTCAGAAATTCCGGCAGGTTTGCTCAAAATCACTTGTCTCTTGTAGTCGGAAACAAGTTCAAATGCTTTTCCGGTTAAGTCGTTTACGTATGTGATGCAGACGAATCGTGTCAGCAGCTTTGGACATTTCTACAGGAAAGATAGAACGTTATAAATTATAAGAGATTAATAATTTCGCGTAGTTTCTATTTCGTTTTTGAGATACAAACAGTGGAGAAGTTGAGCAAAAATATTTTTTTGACCGTAATTTTGGTTCTAGTTGGTTCGCCTATGATACATTTACGATCAAAATTACAATAAAAATGACAAAAATTTCTCCAACGCAACCTCTCTATTGTTGAAATTATGTAAGTACTTACGTTTTTATAAGATCGGTGGAACATGAAGGCTAAAAACATTCGTGCTACTTCACTAGCTACCCTTGGAACAGTAAATGGGAGGAAATCTAAAAAAAATATCAAATTTTAACTTGCTAAGGAGCCACTCTTGTTCATTAGAGAGGTTAAGCAGAAGTAGATATTTATGACGGTGATCGTAATTTAATTGCACACAGTCAAAATTGTTTGTGGATGTAACACCAAAAAGTTATAAATTAGTAAAATTATAATTTTTATATAAAGACGTGTATATAAGCAAAATTACAATCGTATTCGCAAAATACTACTCTTGCGCAACCTCTCTAATAGAGGCTGCGTCATTTTCCCTTGGTCCTCTTCCGTACCATAAAATTTAACACCAACTTGTGTAAATTGTGCAATGAAGATGTGCGACAAAGCTATCATAGCGTAACCCTGGAACGTGAATTAGCAGAATTTGTTAATTTGCAAGCACATTTGTAAACTTTATAAAAACGTTTTTTTACATAAGTAACCCAGAAATGCCAGGTAATCAGCTTCATGACATGAACCCCTATAGTTCTTGATGTTGGCGGATACCCGACCCTTGTACGGATCAAGTCGTAATAAATTTTCAGGAGGACGCCCAAATTAAAAGATGTAATTCCAAAACAAAAATTTAGCCCGGGAGTTAACCCCAATTTTTTTGGGATGATTTGCTCCCACCAAACTTTGTAGTGCAGTAAAGCCCAAAAAATTGAAGGAATCGTGAAGAAGAATACTTGATAAAGTAAAACGAATCGCTCCGATCTCTGCAAAATTAGGTTTCCATTGCTGATAAAAAAAACATTTGCATAAAAATGTGTACAAATTTTGAAAAATAGAAAAAATACCCGCCAAATTAGTAATGTACAAGTATTTCCCAAAATCAGGATTGTCAAGAAAACAATGATTGAGTATTTGATTATTATAGTTTTATTCTTCCCGTTATCCTGGAAAGCATTATTTTCAACAGAGCACATGATGCAGACGGCCTGAAAATTTGGAAATTACACTCTTAAAAATTATGTTATTTTTCTGAAGTGGTAATTGTATATTAAGAGAACTATGCTAAATACACAGTACACTCTTCACCAGGTTACCGTTACTATTGAGTTTGCAACTCTGGCTTAACAAAAAATTTAAAATAAACAGTTTAGTTTTTTGTGCATAAATGTAGCATAATTTTTAAGAGTGTATGTATGTATATTACTAGTTACGTACATAAAAATAATTTTTGGTTATGTACAATGCAGTAATTTGTAAAATCCGTTAGATGTATTATAATTTCGCAAAATTTTATCAAAAAACTGGCGCCCTTAGTCCCAACAAGTTTGCATAAATTGGCAAGCTAATTTTCAGCAGAAATATGCAAATATGTATGTACCTATGTATGAGTAAAATTTTGTAAAATTGTGTTAATTTGCAGAATTTTACCAATTTTACAATGATATTTCTCAAGAACAGTGAATTTCCTTGGTACATATTTTCAGAAAATGCACGTGTTTTAAAAATAAAATCTTTTACCGGATGTAGAATCAAATGCAGGTAAATTAATGATTCCACTACCCGAATATTAGAAAGCATGGTGACCTGGTGTGACTACATTTTGCACGAGTGAATAAACTACTGGGATTTGGATGAGGAAAATAAAGTCAGGAAATATAATTGTGGTTTTGTTTAGAGGAAATTGCACGTATTTAACTGTAAATTCTTACATTTTAATATGCGCAAATTAGTTTACACCACAAATTTCCTGTACAAGATGACCACACCGTTTAGTTTAGTTTATCCATTTTTGTTGAGAAATAAATGTTTGAAAAGGACATTTGAAATAAAAATAACTTTTGCAGGCATAAAGCAAAACTTGTTCAAACATCTCTCGGTTTATTATCGTTGAATAAATAGCCTTATAAAGACAATTAACAATTAATCTTATAAGATTACTCTATATGTAAGCCCCTGTTAAGACGGGCTTATAGGCCACATAGTTAAATCTAATTTTAGCAGTATTTACATACACACATGACCCTGGTAACGATTCTAATAATTAGGCTATTCCATACTTAATACATATTTAATCACATACTTTACATATTTAATAAAGAGAAATAGTAAATGCATACTCTTTTCAAACGGGTAAAATTATTTTTGGCAAGATTCAATTTTGTCTTATTACCCTGCACACTTTAAATATAAATAAGTAAAATTTAAGCAAAAACTCTATTATGTACATTGAGAAATTGCACACGGTAAAATCCCAAAATTTATTTAATTATTTATTTATTTATTAAATGTAATAAATTTATTTAAAAATTTTGGTTAAGTTTTGTACAGCGACTTAACCGTTAATAAATAAATAAATATCTCCTACGAGAAATATTTAGTTTTCTTCTTAATTAAAATCCATTCCTGTCCAACTCGTCCACGAATATTTTCACCACGACACTGAAATATACTAGGATGACAGTAACTTCCGGAAATGGGGATAATTGCAACGGCGTGGTCGGTTTGTCCACCAATGACCATGGTCATGAACAGGATTGTGATCCCGGTCGCCAGAATGAACAGCGACGCAGTAGTCCAGATCAACCAGGGAAAAACGAAGCGACGATTTTGCTGCACATAAAAAAAAATTATGAAAATTATCTAAACATTGCATTTGTTAAAACTGTGATAAAGAAATTAAAAATTGAAAAACATATTAAATTTATATTTTTAGAAAAAAAAGTTTTTATCGTTGAATGAAATTCTCTTGGGTATTTGTGGTAAAATTTCTTCGAGCTAAAAAAAATTACTTCTCACTTGGTTTGCAAATATTTATGAACTAAACAAAGTAATACATATGTATGTATCTGCTTTTTTATATCTAAAAGCTTAATGTATATTGGAAATATTCATGCAAAACCTGAAAACTAAGAAATATATATTTATATAGGTATGTGACAATGTGCAAACATATTTTGAAACCTATGTACACATGTCACTTATTTACCGGAACTAGGGAATAGTTTGACCTTCGGTCGTCATAAAAATCAAGTTTTTGAAAATAAATAAATACCCTGCGTGTTGTTATATATTTCAAATACCTTTCGATATCCGTGCACCAGGAGGCAGGATAAAATCACGTACACAGTAGACATCAAAATTTGGACGAAATCGAACCTGATGCGAAAAATACCTGCAAAATTGTGAAACCCGTTTATGCATATTTTTATATTTTGTATGTGTACATTGATGCAGAAATTTAAGCCAAAAGAACTTAATAATCCCGTAGTAACAAAAATTTGAGTTGGAACTAACGATTTTTCTGGAATGTTGGGTCTTGAATTTGATCCGGGGAATTTATCAGAATGTTAACATCGATCAAGTTATGAATAATTGATCCAATTCCGCACACCTGAGAAAAATTTTGGTAAATTTCACTCTTCGAAATATACTGTTGCATTAATATCAAGCGTTATTCATGCATATATGCATGACTACCAAAGTGTAATTGATACGTAAAAATAGTCTAAAAATCTTAGTAAAATGGTATCGAATCATCAGCCGACCGGAGTGCAGGTATTTATGACTTCACGGGGCACGGTAATAACGGGCATTACCTTATATCAATGAAGTATTTGAACCGTTATGGTGATGAAAACTTACCATTTAGAATCAAACTATTACCAGTCGGGCAAATTTGTACGTTCCTACCTATAAAATTTTTATACCACGTGGGAGCAAGTTTAAAACCGAGAAATCAATACCAATGCGTGGCTATATCAGATTTCTGAGAGTGTAGAAGCTTGAGAAAACGTTGTTTTATAAGAAATCATGTAAATTAGATAAGTATCCACTTACAATGTTCAAAACCCCGATGATAAAGCTGCCCTGTGCCGTGTGGCAACCCGCTGTTGACGGCATTTTTGCACAGGTTTTGACCCAAAACTTTTTTATATTATGTACGATGTGAGTGTATGTGTTGGTATGTTAGTTTGCGAGTTAAGGAAATGCGTGACGTTTCTTGTTCTCGTGGCGAAGATGAAGTGAGTCCTTGCAAAAACATGCGTATCTTTGTATGACACATGTGAACGACTTTGTTTATTAATGAAAAATAAACCGTCGCAAACGCACATAAGAAAGTAGCTTCAGACTCACTTCACCCCAACCATTCCCACGACAGACGGACAAAGTCTTTGCATAAAGTAGCTGAAGCTACTTAATATTTAATATACATACTTTAGTAACCAACCATTCCTCAAGTGTTGAAATATTTGTTGGTTTCAATACGAGTCACTTTACTTACGAAACATAATGGGCCTTACATAATGCACGTGTCAAAGGGTTTTGACCCTTACCCCACTAGTGCGACCTATATACCCTTTGTTATTATTAATATTGGGGTGTCTTTACCCCTGCACCTGCTCACGTCAAATCGACCACGTGCTTTTTGCACAGTCCCAAAGCAAAGCTTTAAGAAAGAGGGATTAGATTTAACTACCGTGGAAGAGTCAGGTTTCAGATTGCAGGAACCAGGCTGGAATTATAGAGTTGGCATTAATGTTTGTGCCCGTGGTGAAATTAAAGACTGCTTTTACACTCTCAATAATTTGCTGTGATTATTTCAGTAGTTACCAATACATACGTGGGACGATTAAGTAATTTGTACAAAGTTGATACAAGTGTGCACTTTATTTGGGTGATTAGATATCAATATTTCTTTGACGAGAAATAAATTTGGGAATGATGTTCGGAAAATTTGGGATGATACATATAAACCCGAACTATTTAGAGATGATGAGTAAGCTAAGCGTGCCCATGACGAATGAAGAGCAATGCCCTTACGACGATATGTAAGCAAATATGGGCTTTCAATCGTGCTAGAATGATAAAATGGTGCAAATATGTAAATTATCTTAATTATATTTAATATTTAATATTTATATTTAATACATATATTACTGGGTTTACATATTTCTGAAATTTACCACTTTCAATTTCTTATGATAATAAGAAACTTAGGGAAATTAAAGGTTAGAAAATTTCATTCTGGCCAGAACCAAGTTTATGCAAAATGGGAATAGAAGGAAAATCTACTTTAGATTATAAATGTGTTACACAGTAACCAATTACGTAGATGTGTAGTAGTTTTAGAAAATATGCAGGTATCGTGGGAACTTTAAGCTATGTACATGTTGAGAGAGAAAGGTATCAATTTTGTCGTGTAGATGGAGAAAGTATGCAGGAATGAGGAAGAGAGAGAGAAAGAAAAAAAGGGAATTTGGGAAAGGCCAGACTTTTTGAATACGTTTTTTTACCAAAGAGGAAACTCGGGTTGGTTGATTTAAATACCATATGTTGAGAAAAGTGACAAAATTTGACTCTACGAATGACCAGGGACATAAAAATTCGGATGGAAATACTGCTAGATATGTCCTCAATACCGTCCTGAAAGTGAGAGGGTGTCTTTGAAGGGAACTGTGCCGAAAGTAAACAGAGTACCGACTAGATGGAGAACCTGACGGTAATTTTAAACAATGCAGATAGTACGAGAGGAGGCAGGTGTCTGAGAAATTGGGAAAGGTGAGATTTTGTAGAAAATAGTTCCAATACATTACTGATAGAAGGGAAACTTGGTGGAGAAACCGGAGCGGAGTAAGTGGAGAAAGTAAGATGTACGATGCACTTTTAGGGGTTGGGGATATGTACATCGGGATGTGCTTTCCCCATGGTTTCCTTCCACCTTGTCTCTGCTGCTGCATTTCATAACATATATAACATATAGAGTGTGTCCAGAAAGTTTCTCCCTATTAACCACTAATGAATTTTATTACCTGACAAAAACAGGGAGATAGAATTGTTCAAACTGCTATATTTTTTGAAAGTACCGTAATTTGGTGTGCATAATCCGGCCTTCTTCACCATTTCCACCATTCATGCCTTAAAACTGTGGTGTAAAATGCGTGGTTCTTACGAAACCAACCAGGGACCGGAATTTCAAAGTCGTGTTTCGGCCTTGTCATGGATGCCACACCCTTCAAATTTTTTTTCCTACATCACGAATTTTGTGGATTGAATTGTCAATGCCATGAAATCTAGCTCTTATCTGTGAATATGCGCTTATCGTCGTCTTCCGCAGGGGTCCAAATAGTCGAAAATCTGTGCTTTTAACCAGTTTTGCGAAGTTTAACTCATATCACATGGGTTAAAAAGCATTTTATCCTGACCCTTGTATGTCTGACAACCTTCCTTTGTCATTCTGGGTTAGTCCCAAAAGTAGTTATCAAAGTATTACCATTTTTCTGAAAGTGTTGCTTTGCAAGATTTAGGCTCGCTCAGATTTCATACCAAAACTTTGCGATTTCCTTAAAATTATTTATGTAAGTTAGCATTTTTTTGATGGTGAGAGTGTCCTCGAACTATCTGAACTGCGTTTGGGTATAAAATATTTTTTATCGCTCCGAAATCTTAACATCTTTCAGATTTTTGGATTTTCACTTAAATCGATCCCCTGCATAGGATACTGCCAAGATACTCAATTCCTTGTGCATGGGAAAAGGCTTCACCTTTGGTATTGTATTGGAAAAATAATTGCACGACAAAACTCAAAGATGTTAAAACTATCAACGAAAAACGGGCGGAAAATCCATAGGGAGAAACTTTCTGGACACCCTCTATCCGGTGATGATAAATTCTTATGCGTCTATAATACAGCGAAAATAGGCCAAGCTTTCACTACTTTGTTTAGCCTTAGCATTTGCGCGGGTGTCCTTGTAAAATGAAGGTGAATCAATTTTATACTGAAACCAGGGTATCACCTGGTATAGTGCGTGATTCCAAAAGTAAAACTAGATAAAATCCAAAACTCGAATTTGAGTTATTACGGATGGAGTTTCAGGCGCAAATTTTTACTAAATGAATTGAAGGTTTAGCACACTATCAATTTATATTGTGAATAATCTTACATATTATGTACATAGCATTATTTCTGAATTCGCGATTTATTGAATTACATTTACCATTAAGGTTGGATCACTACATAATTCCACGAAGTGTGTATTCTTAGAGTAGATTTGAGATAAAGTAGAAACCGTACTTGCTCTCGAGACTAGCCATCAGAAATTTTGTAATGTGGCATTTTGCTGGATGAATTCAAATCCAAACAAATCATGGGTCTAAAAATTGCAATATGTTCGCTGAGAATCCTTATATTATGGGATCGTACTTATTCCGAGGGAAATGTACATACGTCGCAGCATCATAACCTTGAAAATGTATATCAATTACATATCTCTACCTGGAAAATAAGTGCGTCTCACTTTTCTCAAGTTCCACTTTCATTGGAAGAACGTGCCCTTGAACTGTATTTAAGAGATTTGAATGCGAGGCTGGATATGCATGGAGGTAGAATGTAAAGGGTTGATGTTAGCGAGGGTTGCAGACAAATATCTTCTCAACGTTGTGACGACTTGAAAGTGAGGGCGAGTCGTTACAACTGCTAATTAATTATGATACCAACAATTAGGTTTTGTTAATGGAAACTGGTGAAGAGCAATTTAGAAAGCATAGGTGGAAATTTAATTACCTGAGAAAAGAGTTGTCAAGACTACAGATGTTACTCTCAACTCTCAATTTTTACATTTATATAAAAAGGGCCGTGTGCAGGTGTAACACATTCGTACGTTCCCAAATGTATGGACAGACATCCAATGACTTATTGTTAGTCCAACTGCTCGGTCGGTCAACATAAATTCTTGAATATAAGTACTATGACAAATCTTATTTTCGATCCTTGACACGACGTGGCCACGCTTTAATCACGTGGATATAATGGAATTGATCTCTTAGCTATATTGCAACATTTTTGAAACCCATACAAAGAAGCAATTCTAGTCGTATTAATATCTTAGATAAGGTGGGAAGCGATGAGCTTTGGTATATATGTATGTAGTTAGTAGTAGGAACATATTTAGATGCTTATACAGATACTTGTGGTGTCGAATTGTAAAGATATGCGAATATGTACGAACCATACAGATGTCAGGTCTTAGGCGTACAGTTTTACGTAAAACTTGAGTGCGTGCAGTCTCCAAGGAGATGCTCTGCTAGGAATGTAAAAATAGGGTGGTCATGATTTTTTCACGTGACAAGCAGTGTTTTGCTAGAAGTCCTCGTGCTATATAGTAAGTAATTCGCTTAACAAAAGGGTGGCAATTAGTAATTAGCAATTTTGGCCAAAACTGACTGCAATTAGCTAAAAATATCATCATCCGAGCAAATGTGAAAGTTAGATAGTATAAATCCCGATTTAAAATTTGAACGGCAGCAAAACTTTATGCAAAGTGATTTATGAAAACAGAAAAATGTGCATATGTAGATGTAGCAGAATGAAACCTATAGAAATTTTTTGTATGATTATTTTTTTTTATTGTGCAGAATACAATAATCGTACTTTTGTGGATTACTTAAGGGCGTGGGGGAAGTTGCTAAGAAATCACGTCAACTTTGACGATAAAATTCAGCAATGCACAAGAGGGCAGATTTTTCAAATTATGTTTAATGGTTAATCATATCTTTAGATTTTACTTAAGTTTTTTTTGACGATCTGCCCTCTTGTGCAGTGGAGATATCGGGTCATAAAGTGGGCACAAATTGGCTTAGAATTGCAAAATTGATGGCATGAATTGCATTTTGAGTATCCATGGAACAAAAGAAAACAACTTTTTTCAAAAACTTGAGGGATTTGAGGGAAACGTTTCCAAAACCAGTGACCAAACCAAAGCTTTTGAACGTGAGCGTGCCATAGGAACGATGTCAATTAATTGTGGTCGTAACCTAACAGATCGATAATATTCTTGGATCCCTAGCAATTATTGTTGCTAACATAAAATCAATTTTCGAAAAGTAAATCTTCCCCCGGGCCCTTAAGTATGTAATACATATGTAAATACTTATCTGTATATAAATATATAAAATACGTACAATATATTATTTAAATTAACCAAATTTAGACAACATATTTTAAAAAATAAATTAAAGTTACAAATTCATCATAAAAATTTCAATTTTTCAAAAGAGTCGAGTAATTCTTTTTGGATTTCATAAATAATCAAACAATTATGCCAAACTCTGCCTTCACACACATACACGAGACACACTTCCAATAATCCATACCTAAATATCCTCCTAAAAACAATGTTACCCTTTGAAAAGTGTCTCCTCAATGCTACAAAGTCTAAATTAGGTAAACTATACTATGACAAATCTAGAGTAACGTTAACTTCATGGAGGATAAAGTTTACCCTGGATTTAGTATATGTATATATCTACATAGTTATTTAATTTAAAATTGAGAGCATTAAATACATACAAAACTACACACAAAACTTAGTGTGCATTTCCTCTTCAAAACGTTAAATTATTCTTAAGAATGTTCCATTTACAGACTTTCCTTACCCTTCATAAATACCTAAATATGGCAATGTTTTCATATCCATTAATAAATAAAGATTTGCAACAAAACATATTTAGTATTTCTCTTAATAAGAAGTCATTCCCTCCAACTCATGGACGAATTTCTTCACCACAACGATGAAATATGCCTGGATGACGAAGTAGCTTCCGGAAATGGCGAGAATCACACCCGCGTCGTCGGCTTGTCCACCCAGGACCATGGTTAAAAGTAGGATGGTAATTCCGGTAGCCAGGATGGTAAGCGACACGCTGCTCCAAATTAACCAGGGCATGATGAGGCGATAATTTTGCTGCAAAATGTACGCACAAATTTTATCAAATTACGAAAACGTACACTCTTTCGAAAAATCTAGAATTCTATGTATGGACTTTTTGGTATTCAATTTTTTTGACCAAATAAAGTTTCGTCTCACATTGTAAGTATTTGCAAAATATGTATTAAAAAGATTTGAACGATTTGCGCATATTTCAAATAATGGCGGGCATATATATCTAAAAATCTAGAAATATGACCAAATTTATAAATTTATAATCTCCTAAAAATATCTTAAAATTTTTCAAAAAAATATGTTTAAATTTTTAACATGTACAAGATTTGTTCAACACACTCATAAAGTCGTCATCGAATGTGAAAGTTTAAAATAAAATGCATATCCTTCCTCTGGTCATTTGCATATTTATTACGTGTATCGTATTTAAATACCTTCCGATAGCCATGTACCATCAGGCATGATAGGATCACGTGCACACCGGTCATGAAGATCTGGACAAAGTCAAATCTGATGCGGAAAATTCCTGCAAAATTGTGGATATTTTTTTATTAAAAAAATCAGAAAAATATGAGCTACTAAAACACATAATTAATTTCTCATTAATTAAAATTTGAGTTGGAACTAACGATCTTGTTGGAACTTTGGGTCTGTAGTTCGATCCGGATAATTCATCATGATATTGAGGTCGATCGAGTTATGGATAATTGAGGCAATTCCGCAAATCTGAGAATAATTTGAGAAATTAAACTCTTAAAAATGCGATATTAAAATTATACCAAGCGATATTCATGTGGGACACTACCAAAGTAGTATTAATATGTAGGTAATACTATCTTTTTCGTAATAAAATTTGAAATAAATAAATGGAAAATGGGAAATTGGTAAATGGTAAATTTTACCGTTCTTGTCACCAAATTTACACACCGTCTTAATTTTGATACCAACTGGAAGCAACTTTAATACCAATCAGTCAAAATCTGCCTTACTATACCAGATTTCTAATTTTGTATAAGTCTTGATAAAGTATGGCTAAAAAGAAATTACGCAAATTAAATACTTACAATATGCAAAAGTCCAATGATAAGGGTGCCACGTGCCACAGTACACCATCCCCCGTAACAAATTGCTGACGACATTTTTTGCACAAAAATTAATTTTCGTTGCCAAAAATTAGTTGGTGGCTATACAATAATTGTGGTAGTGAAATATTTCCTGAAGTTGCGAACGTTTCGTTATAATATGCATGAGAAATATGTGACGTTTCCTGGTCTCGTGGTGAAGGCGAAGTGAGTCCCTGAAAAATCCGGTATGATTGATATATCGCGAAAAGTTAAGTGTTAAGGGTCCTCCACAAATTATGTTACTCGAAGGGATTGAGAAGCTTGAAGAATAATTTAAATAAATATTTGCATAGACAAATATCCAAACACATACAAATATTTGCAAAATATTTGCAACTCTTCACTAGCACACAAACGGTTTAGCGAAATATAAAGCTTAATTATTTGGAAGGCTTCAAAATATATGGATGCTCGTGACTTCTTGTCAAAAAGCCGTGCCGAATTTGACATAGGATGATTAGCGATTTTTTTGCACACGATAAAGTGAATGCACTAGCGCATATTTACTCGCATATTCTTCCTTTTTCATAGTAAGATTATGAGTACATATACATAAATACATATGTATGCAAATGAGGGGTAAACATGTCAATTATATTTAATTGTTTTCGATACGTGACACATAAGTACGCAGAGATTTAAGCGACGAGAAAGATGGATTAGATTTAATTGCCGTGAAAGCGTCGGGTTTCAGATGGCTGGAGCCAGGCCAGACTGGAATTGTTTTGGGTTAGCGAGTTGGAAGCCGAAATGCATAATAGGCACGATTTAGTTTCAGATTCATGACTGGTTACTTATGTACACTCTAAATAATGCGATGCAATTAAATATAATCAATTACATACATAGGTAGAAAAACTTGGTTTCCGAGCAACGTTTTGGCAATATCAAGTTGATACATTGAACTTATGTAAATGAGTTTTTGTTTTTAGAGACATTTGAAACAAACTGGGAAACGATATTCGGAACCATAACAATGCTACATAGATATAACCATAAATTATTAAGTGATGATGAGTAAGCTAAGCGTTCATGAAAACGATTAGGTAGCGGACTTATTTATCAGGATATTAGATATACATGTGTAAATGTAGAGTGTATGTACATGTTTATGTGCATATTTAACCTACTATATAATCGCGACGATATGTATATATGTAAATACATGCTAATATGGCTTTGGAATCGTGCTACAATGATGCAATTGGGCAGATAAATCGTTTTTGACATGCGAAAATCTTAATTGTTTTAATTTAATTTATATTTCTAGAGTTTACCTTACATATTAGTAAAATTTGTGGATGAACGTAATAAAATTTCTTTTAGTACATAACCATATTTTCGCAACGCGAGTAGGAGGGAAAGTAGAGCGCTGCAGAGTACATAATATACCCCGAAAATTGATAAAGCATACAGGAATTGTGATAACAGAAAGGAATTCTGCCTAGTAGATGGAGAAAGTACTTTTGTATGTATCCAAGAGTAGTGATTTGTTAAAATGGGAAATTTGGGGAAGATGAGATTCGTGGAATAAGTTTCCTGTCAAAGTCGAAATTCGTGTTGGCATAAGAGATGTACACTCTCACCAATCTGTCGATACAGCCAGTAATCAGTAATACTTATTATTATTACCAGAGCTTTGACATTGGGGGCTGGGGGGGGATTTAGCCTCTGAATGAATGTCGCCCTCTGGTAATAAATTATTACTGAAGCGGTAGAATTCCATGGTACTTCCCCCGGTAACAAAGGTATCGTAAAATTATTGAGGGTGAGGAGAAAGTTGGAGAATTGGGAAACACGCACACATTACGATGGAAATATTTCCAAGATTTTGTGCAGTTCTTGTACATACATATGTATAGTATTTATGACACGATGGAGAAAGTGGAGGGGAGAAATTGCACAGGTCTGGGTTAGGATGCACTGATCATGCTTTCTCCATGGTTCCCTTCCCCCTTCGTCTTTTCTTCGTAAAGTAGCACATAGCTCGGATACATAGATACTTATTGGTATTAATATACTTACATAGGTATGTATGTAGATATATACATACATATGAATGCATGGAGTAGATTGGAATTATCTAAATAAATAGATTGCATTCCCAACTTTCACCATTTTCACCTCCCTATAGCTAACGTTGCAAAGTGAACCTTTATTATCTATGATAGATTTTCATGGAACTTGGAAATTGACCAATTGACCAATTGACCAATTTTTATCCTTGTTTCCGAAAGTATTTATAAGATCTCGTTTATGTAGGTTTGATGAGATTTATCCAATTTGACTTGCTTAATTTTAATTTGAGTAATGTTTTTATTTTGAATCATTTAGTTAGCATTTGTTAAATTAATTAGATCTTAAAAAATGCAAGTTTTCATAAGACAGTTATTAATAGATTTGAGTGAAACAAACCTTTGTACATACATATTTAGAGCAATTATGGTCAAATTTTAGTTAAATATACATACATAATTTCATGTTCGTGTGGAGAAACGAAATACAAATATATGTACGGTATTTGGCACCACAATTAGTTACATATGATTTATAACTCGTCTCTATATGCAAATTCATTCAAAAGTTTATATTTAAAAATTATTCTACTTATGTAGTTGGTCGGTGAGTTTTTGAATGGTAAGTACATACATATGTACATACATATTTTTATGTTTATGTTTCAACTATGGAGACAAAGGAACTCTGCAGAAAGTTGACAGACTGCCGGCCAGATGGAGAACGGGAGAGTAATTTTTAGAAAAACAGATATTGCGAGAAGAGGGTGGGGTGAGAAATTGGCAAAGTTGAGATTTTGTATAAAATGGTTCCAATAAACCCATTTCTGGACAAAGGGTAACGTAAAATGTGACTGCTCAAAGAATCCTTGTAAAAAACAGATAATATTGGCATGGTTCGACACTCCTAAAAATAATGTTACCCTTTTGAAAAGTAGGTGCAGTCTCAATTTTAAATTAAGTATACCATACTAAATCCAGAGTAACGTAGCAAAGTGTAAAGTCTGCTCTGAATTTTACAGAATTTACTTTATCTATGTATGTATGCCGAATTGAAACTGAATTTTGTTTCAAGAAAGGTAATATTATGTTAAGAGTGAAGGCTAGATTTTTGTTTCCACGCTGCATGTACATATATGTACATACATACTTGTTTGCTTGTGAGATAGTGGAGAAAGTAGTGGGGAGAAAGTGGAGAAACTGAGATGTGTGAGACTCCTATAGGGGTTGACGATACATCGGGATGTGCTTTCCCCATGGTTTCTTTCTACCTTGTCTCTGCTGCTGCATTTCATAACATGGATCCGATTATGATATATTCTTTCATATGCATGCAAGTATGTATTACTCAGATTGAAGGTGAGTTAAACTTTCACTACTTTAACCTTGGCGAGGCTGACCTTGTAAAACGAAGGTGAATCAATTTTATTTGCTGAAATCTGGGAATCACGTGATGTGTTAGTGTTTGTATTTATGTTGCCAATAGCAATTTGGTTTGTTCGTGGGTTTTCAAGCGTAAATTTGTTCACGACAAGTATAATTTATATATTAATAATACAAAATTTGATTTATTAATAGATAATGATGTTAAATAAGAATATTTTTGGGTTCTACAATTTGTTAAATACCATTTCACATAAAAGCTTGATCACCATCAGGAAACTAACTTGGTTTGAGTTTAAGTGAAAGTCGTGCTTTCCCTCGAAAATCGCCATCAGTTAGGATCCAGGAGTTTGAATACATGTTTTATGGCTGGGTGAATTCATATCTAAAAAATATAAGGGTTCAGAACGTCCAAAGCTTGGAATGTGTTGGCTGGGGGAAAGTGAGAATCCCGCAATGAGAGAATTGTTGAGAGAAAACTACGTCGCAAAATGACAACCTTGAAGACATGTATCAATTACATATCTCTACTTGGAAAACAAGTAGGTCTCATTCTTCCTCAGATTGAAAATAATTCGAAGAATTTGCCCTTGGAATTGAACTTAAGAGATATGACTGTTGTTCAGCATACATGTGTGCGTAGGTTGGGCGTAGGGGTGGATGTTTGTGAGGGTTTTGGTTATGTGCTCAAAGGAGGGATGCCTTAAAAAGTGAGAACTCCTAATTAAGGCTGACATTAACAATTAAACTGGATGAATTGGAAAGGTTGAATAGAAATGTGGAAATCAGAGGTAGAAATTTAATTACCCGAGAAAAGAGTTGACATTTTTATCTTAATTACAGATATTTTCTGCTTGTGCTAAAAGGCACGTGCATAGAATCTGTTACAAATTTGATACTAGGTTCATAACTGTCAACGCGTCTAAGGTCAAGCTTAATGTGTGAGAATATATATTTACGTAGCTCGCCTTGATCAGCACAAATTGTATTTTTCATCCTCGATACGACATGGCCACGCTCTGATCACGCTGACATGCATACAGATTTAAGAATGTGTGTATGTAACTGATACCTGAATTTTGTACAATTGTGGAAGCCGAACAAAGAAGCAATTTTCTAGTGGGATTCATTTCTGAGATGTGGTAAAACGCGATATGGGAAATGACAAGACAGATAGACAAGCAAGTGGTTATATGGAATGACAAAGATATGTAGGTATAGGCACTGTATAGGGCTGTACGTCGTACGCGTACAAGTTTACGTTAGAACTGCGTGCGTGCAGTCTCCAGGGAGATCAATCTATGTAAAAATAGGGTGGTCATGATTTTATCACGTGGTGAAGTAGTGTATCATTCGCTCTCCTCGTGCTCTAAGAGTAAATAATTCGATTAAAAGAAGGTGAGAAATTATATTTCAATTAGTCAAAAATGTTGTTGATTATTGTGAAATTCGTATGTTTTGAATTCCTACAAATTTGAACGAACTAGTGCTTTCATGCAGAAATTTTGTATGCTTTTCTCCAAAAGACGGTGACTTGTTCAGACAGCTATGCATAACTGTACATGCAAAATTATGCATTACCGTTCTGCAGAATAAAACCGGTTGAAATTTTCAACATGATTGTGTAAAAATTATCGAAATACGATATATATATCAAGCTTTTATCCATTACTGCATAATTATACGCCGTTATTTCTATTCGGGAACCAGTAGTACTTGAATGCGGAACTTATTTCTTCCATCTTCTCGT